CGGATATGACACCTCTGCTCTAGAGAATGTATTCAATTATTTACACTCAGAAAATGATTAAATAGGAGAAAATGGACTTTTGAAGAAGGACTGTTTTGAAGGAGTTCTCTTCATCGTCACAGACTGTAGAACAGTGTCGAGTGAAAATAGAGGAGGTCTTTGTGTCAGTGAGCGTCTGATCTGTGTAGAACAGAGATCTGCAGATAAAGCAGCGTTCAGTCCATTCACACTCAGATAGGAAACTGCGCGTCTCTGTCAGCTCTGACATTCAGCATTTCCAGCAATGGCACTTGAGATTTACTGTCTCGGACTGAAATTCACCACTTTCATTATAGAATTGTGTTACTCTGCACTCTTAAAAAAGATGGTTCTTCAATAGTTCTTTTGTAAAGAAAATGGTTCCATATAAAACCATGAACACTCAAAGAACCATTTAATTTTGTTTAATTTTCTATATAGCACCAAAACGGGTTCTGCTGTAGTTACAGGCTTGACATCATGCTCAACAGTTAAACCCATTTTTGTTGCTATATAGAACCATTTTTAAAAGGTTGGTATATAAAACCATATACAACACATTCTCCATCAATCTGAAGAACAATTTCACCATGCAAAGAACCATTTAAGCATGCAAATCGTTCTCTATAGAGCTCATGGCTCGTAGCCTTAGCTATATAAGCTAAGGCTACGTTCACACAGCAGGTAAAAGTGGCCCAAATCTGATTTTCTCATCAAATCCAATTTTTTTTGTTTGGCAGTTCACAATATATTTTAAATGTGATCTGTATGCGACAATAGTCTGAACAGATCAGCTCCTGAACTGACCCACATGCGCAAAAGAACAAAGCGTCATGTTGCTTCATGTGGCTCATCCAGAGGTAAACTATGTCTATGAACACCAGTCGCTCCCGGAGCTTTCAGTTTGTCAGTGAATTATGAGGGCAAAAAAAATAATCAAAATAATCGTTCATTAATCATAATCAAGGTAAAATATTCAATTAATCGTGATATTGATTTGAGGTCATATCGCCCAGCACTATATATGTATGTGTATTTTATATATATATATATATATATATGTATATGTATATATATATATATATATATATATACATATACATATATATATATATATATATATATATATATATATAACACACTTTGTCTCTTCTGACTTATCAGATGTAAGAAAACAATATCATGTAAAAATCATGCAGCCTTATGAACAGCACCCTACAGTGAAGTGTTAACTAGCTCTTTTTCACTGTAACATCACTGTGTGTCCATTCACAGCGTATTCAGTACTTGTAGACTTTGTCATGTTTCTGTAGTTTGCACCACCCTACAGATATGAATAGAAATAATCTCACTGTACTTAAACAAAAACAGGAAATGGGTCAGTGTGCTGGGGGAGGGGGGGGTCAAGGCGTCTCCTGTCCACTCAGAAAAATGACACTGACCAGCACAAACCTAACGTCCAAACCTAAACAACTGAATCAGCTGACACAGCAAACACAGGGCATAATTCATAACCCTGGAAGCACTTTTCTGCCTACTGTACAAAAATCTGGGGAAATCCACTGATCTGCACCAGAATTTCAGCACAATGAAACAGCTACACTGTTGAAGACATTGTTTCATGAGAGTTTTGAGATTTTGGCCTTGAACGCTTGAACTTGTATTCTTGGTCGAGGGACACATGCAGGGCGCTGTGAGGCAAAATAATCCCCAAAGATAACTTAATATTTTAGATTGTCCATCATCAACATTCCATTCCCTATAAAACGTGTAGGTTCACTGGTGGTTTTGGATAGTAAATAAAATGTCTATATTTGTGTTGAAGTCATGGAGACCCCATGAGGGAACAAGCAACAAGTGACATGCAGAGAAAAACGCGCTAGTAATCACAAGCAGTAAAACACATAAAGCTACAGAACACAGAATACTCATTGTTTGGTGCCACACAAGTTCACATGGCATTGATTAGCCAAAAATGCACAAAATATTTACATATATTTTGCAACACTGATACCTTTATTTGTGTGGCTGGGTGTGTGGAGGTGTGAGGGTTTTCTTCAGGCTCCCTCTGCAGCCATGCTTGATTCTTTTTCTAAAGAGCAGTTGCTGGAGGTAGCTGATCGTTTTAAAATTGAATTAACCGCCACAAATAAACATTTGAAAGAGAGTATTAATTATTAAGTTGGTGTCGATTGATTTAATAGAAATTCATCATCAAAAGCTAGAGTGGGAATCTGAAAAGGCTCAACAAAATCTGGAGCACCAGAGGCTTGATTTTGAGCTTCAGCGCCTGCAGCTCATTAAAGAGGCTAAGTTGGCGAGAGGTCCTGGGGTCAGATCCCAGACGAGCCCCCACACTATTACAGACCACCCTCTAGTCAGCTCATAAACAATTGACGAAGACGATGAATGAAAGCTGTAGCAAAAATTGTCTTTATTTTCACATTAAGCTAATTTAAAATGGTTAGCAAAAGCAAACCAGACGGCCCAAAGGGTCATCCCAATGATTCACTGCTAAACTGCAATATAAAACACTAAAGAACGTCACTTGAGTCTCTACTAATTTTGCTGTTTTTTTTTTTTTTAATAAATGCCCATTTTGAATTTAATGCCAACAACATGTTCCAAAAAAAGTTGGGACAGGGGCATGTTTACCACTGTGTTTCATCACCTCTTCTTTTAACAACACTCTGTAAGCGTTTGGGAACTGAGAAGACCAGTTGCTGTAGTTTGAAAGTGAAATGTTTTCCCATTCTTACTAAATATAGGATTTCAGCTGCCCAACAGTTCGGGGTCTCCTTGGTCGTATTTTTCATTTCATAATGCGCCAAATGTTTTCAATGGGTGACAGGTCTGGACTGCAGACAGGCCAGTTTAGCGCCCAAACTCTTTTAATATGGAGCAATGCTGTTGTAATACATGCAGAATGTGGTTCGACATTGTCATGCTGAAATAATCAAGGCCTTCCCTGAAAAACACGTTGTCGGGATGGCAGCATATGTTGCTAAAACATGTATATATCATTCAGCATTAATGGTACCTTCACAGATGTGCACGTCACCCATGCCGTGTGCACTAATACACCCCATACCATCATGAATACTGGCTTTTGAACTGTGCACTGATAACAAGCTGAGTGTTCTTTAGCCCAGAAGACACAGTGTACATGATTTCCAAAAAGATTTTCAAATTTTGATTCGTCAGTCCACAGGACACTTTTCCACTTCCCCTCAGTCCATTTCAAATGAGCTCGGGCCCAGAGAAGGTGGCAGCATTTCTGGTCCTGTTTATATGTGGTTTCTTCTTTGCGTTTTAGAGTTTTAACTTGCATTTGTGGATGCAGAGACGTACTGTTTTCATAGACTGGTTTTCACAAGTGTTCCTGAGCCCATGCAGTGATTTCCTCTGTAGTATCATGTCTGTTTTAATGCAGTGCTGCCTGAGGGCCCAAAGATCATGGCCAGCAAATACTGCTTTTTGGGCTTGTCCTTTGCATATGGAGATTGCTCTCTGTGATGCTATTTTTATACCCAATCATGTTACTGACCTGTTGCCAATCAACTACCAGGTGTTTTTTAGCATTACACAACTTTCCCAGCCTTTTGTTGCCCCCATCCCAACTTTTTTGGAGTGTGTTGTTGGTATCAAATTCAAAATGGGCAAAAAAATTTCAAAAAACAAAGTTTCTCAGTTTCAACATTTGATATGTCATCTTTGTACTATTTTCAATGAAATATATGGTTCAAATGATCTGCAAATCATTGCATATTGTTTTCATTTACATTTTGCACAGCGTCCCAACTTTTTTGGAATGGGGTTGTATTACAGACCAGGAGGCGCCAACATGCGGCTCTACAGCAGAATTAGATTTGTAGGTAAAAATAAATTAATTTTTCTTTGCAGTAAAATGAAGTTCTGCTGATCATTCAAACAGTTTTAACAATAAACGGTCTTAAATGCTGAAGTTAATATAGAACTGCTAATTCACCCTTTAACCCTGAAGATCAGCAGACTGCTGGTCACCATAGCAACAGACAACCTTGCCTAACTAGTAGCTAACGAAACAGCAAAGCAAAAGATTTAAGATGAACATCGATAATTCAGAGATGAATGGACTTATTTGCATTTATAATCACTCCAGCTGGTTTCCAGATACATATAGTCTGCAACGAGAAACTGACAAACACTACAAAGTCATAAAGCTGTAAAGTTTCTCATTCGAATTTTCCCGTTCCACCGTAAATGATGCAGGAGTTACATTCTGCCACCTCAGGCACCATTTAAGGTGGAACAGGAAAATTCGACAAGAAGCTGGTGAAGAAGTTGACTTCAGCCTGGTTTTTAAAAAAATAAATAAATAAAAATTAATGTTGAGACATTTTGCATAAACTATTAAAGTAATAAAGTTTCCTGTCTGAGATGTGAGAAAAGAGGCTATAACTAAGATGAAGCTTAAAGCAGAACAAAGTAAGTCTGCATTTTCATTTATATTTTCAGCCTACACTAGTACATCAGCAAAAACTAAGACATATTTAAAGTCAAGATGGTAAAATGGACATAAAACACTGTGGCTCGCAAGCTTGTTTGATTATTGTAGAAAGGACAAAATGGCTCTTCCTAATATTTGGGTTATGACCCTTAAATTTAGAAAATGTTACAGATAGTATAGAAAATGTATGAATTGCTATTTCGTTATTGTGTTTTAGCATCAGTCATCAGATACAAGGCACTTTTGTCAAAAACATTGTCAGAACTACTTGTGGAAAACTGGCTGTACTTTAGAGTTCAGCTCAGGCAGCACTGAACTGAACTTGATTAAACAAGCTTTCTTCAAGGACAACCCACCCCAGGACACAGTCATTAACAGGGAGGACAGGAAGAGTGCATGCACACGGAAGGAGGCGACACATTGTTTTAAATCTTATCTAATAGCAGCAATAAAAACTACCCAGTGACTTCATATGAAAAGCACAAAGACAAACGTCCCACAAAGTGCACTTTATTGAGGATAGATCTGCTCTCGGCCTTTTTCAACTCCAACATATAGAACAGACCAGAGCCTTCTTAGGTTAGATACAAAATATAAGTATAGGAAAACATACATACAAAACTATACAAACAAACACAAACAAACAAAGAAACAGAAGGAAGAGGAGGATCATTATTGCTGCGCCATCAGATTGTAAAGCCTGCGTCAGTGCAGTGACCAACCAGAGCTCTCTCAGCCAGAACCATCTAGAATCATCTATGCACGTTACAACTGTGCTACGTCTCGCAATGTGGCATAAAGGCTGCACTACTGTTGACTATTTTAACTGATTAGACTGCCTGGATTCATTAAAAATAAACACAGAATCAAGTCTGTGATTGGCCAGGACACTCACAGTGCACAAACCAATCGTGTGACTGGTTAGACACTTATTTGCATATTGCAGCCTTGCGTTATATGAGTATTGCAAAAGGCCAACATCACAACGCTTAAACGTCATAGTATAACTGTAGAATTAAAGTTGCAGAACACAGAATTTCACCAAAATTGTGAGACTGAAAGTACTAGATCCTTCCATTATGGGTTCTAGAGTTAAATAATGGTTCTAGAAGCTGGAAGCTCTGTGTTCTCAGAGTGCAGGGGGTCAGGTGTGTTCTGTACTGAGGTTTTCCGTTTAGTCAGCTCTATGTGTGAATGACGGAGCGTTTAGCTCTTGAGGTTGCTGGCAGGCAGAGTGGTTTTATCCAGATCGTCGAAGTAAGGGTGGGTCATGGCCTGTCGCGCAGAAATCCTCTTCAGAGGATCATAGGTCAGCATTTTCTGAACAAGAGAGAAAGAGGGTCAGCATTGTATGTGGTGCTTCATGCAAGGAATACTAGGCCCGTCACGATAATTATGTAGTAAATGACAATGAATAATAATAAATACACTGACAATATTATTTCATTTTAAATTAAAAATATTTAAATTTAAGTCTAAAGAGGTAAATTGGCTTATTAGCTATTTTAGCTAGCTCTTTACTTTGCAGCTAACAAAATGATGCACTGTACATAACGGTTTTTCTTCTGAAACTGCAAATGTGCGTGAAGAACACTTGTTCTGCAAGCATAAATGCTAATCTAATTACTACTCCACCTAAACATATTACAGCACACAGATTTAAAAGTTATAACCAAGTTACAAAAAGGAAAGTTAAAAGAAGTGATTTATTTTAATTTCACTCCAGCCAAGTAATGAAGACTCATACAGCTCACATTATGCTTGTGACGATGCGACCGCAAAATCGAAGGATTGCGCAAATAATTGCGATCAGAATAAATAATTGTCAGTATCTCAAATAATTCCAATCACTCTATCATGTGGCAGGCCTAAAGAACACCCCAAAATTTTCAATCTACAGTATCTGCATGTCCTTGAGCTTACGCTTAAGTGGTGCAGGTTAAACTGATAAAGCTGTGCTGCAGGCAGCCACGCACAGAACGCCTTCACTCTCCGAACATGAAGGATGACAAAGCCCCAAAGAGTAAAATATTAAAACTATTTATATGATATAGTTGTGTGTCACACTTTCAACACCCAGCAGAGCTTGAGTGAAAAACAAGTTATGAAAATGATAAAACACGGCTTAAACACTGATCAGTTCTGAGAACTGTGTGGGCGTGGCTAATGAGCAGCTTGATTGACAGCTCTCTGCACAACACTGCTAGGCTGCTCCACCCCTCATTCAGAACTAAAATCATTAACCAGCTTGTATGTGACGCTAACTGGACAAAATATGGACAGACAAACTGATAGATGAACGAACAAACAAACGAGTGAATAATGTTGGTGTTGGATAAATGAGTGAACAGGCGACAGGCAGCTACAGACTGGTGGTTTAGCTTGCTAGCTTTTGGTTATGCTGGGACAGCTTTAGCTTGCTAAGATTCTCAGACTCTGAAACTGTTCTGTGTGGGCGGGGCCAGAGACGTAGCCTTGTGATTGGCCTTGGGAATGTTCACAGAGGCATTACCCAAGACTAGGACGACCCCGTTTAAACAGAGAGGAGAAATATGGTAAAATATATATGGCCATTTATTGGTAATTGTAACATTACTCAAAGGATTAACTTGTTGATGTACATGTTTACCATTCACCTGCAGAAACACCACAAACTGCCTGTTGCAGGGCGATTTCACAAGCCTGAAACGCTGAAATATTGCTTTAATGTAGTGCAGAAGTAAAGCTCACCCCGAGCAGGTCGATGCCGTTCTTGTCCAGGTTCTTCACCATACTGCCCAAACTACCCGACTTCCACTTGGGGAAGGAGTTCTTGTAATCGGGCAACGACTCCACATCCGGCCACACCTCGTTATTGGGGGTACCCAGAATCCTACACACAGACAATGTTATTATATGAATAATGGGGTCACAGCTGGAAGGTCAGATCAGTGCTGAAGTCCTAAATCGGCTGTAAACATGCATAGTGAAACACTGATCTGAAGGCGGTAATTTGATTTTATAAAGCTGAGGTTAGAGGTGTCGTAAAACACTCCATATATGCAAACCTATGAATTCTGCTGTTAACTCTCACAGGCTGACGATGACGCATATGACATCAAAGGACATCGGACCTCGGGAACACTGCATGCTAGAGACTTTGTAAAATCCACCGAGCCTGTGTTCCTGACTTGTGAGCCAATCAGAGGCCATGTTCCTGACTTGTCGACAGCATAATGCTAACACTGCAAGTCTCTAGCATGCAGTGTTCCTGAGATTCATTTTTTGTAGTACGGCGTCCTTTAATGTCACATATGACATCAATTTGAGAGGGTTAACAGAATAAATGACTAATGCCACTTGCATAGACCACCGAGCGTAGTGATGAAGTTAGAACCCGATTCTGTTTAAACTGAGGGCCTGATCAGCTAGCTAAGAGGCTAAACAATCCCTCCTTTAATATCACAGACTTTGAATGAAAGTATTTAATGTATGAATCATTGTGAAACCACAGTATAAAAGAATGTCAGCTGAATTGCTCTACAACGAACCATTTCACATCAAACCACACTGAATGACTGAATGACACACTGACTGCATCTCGAACCCTGAATTACAGGGAATTTAAAAAAACTTGGTAGATTTCAGTTTTAAGCCACTGAGCATAACTTGTTATTTCATTATCACACAAACTTATTCTCTCCTTTGTTGTGACTTACTTAATGGCACTTTTGTCAGAAACTGGCTTCCACAGATTCAGCTGCCCAGAGAAAAGCCTGTAGTTCTGAGTTCAGCACAGGCTGTACTGCACTGAACCCTGTTTGGATTAAACACAGCTGAACTGTTTTTAACTGAGAAGCTTGAAAAGTATTTTTTTTTTAACTAAAACTAGACTAACAGGCTAAAAGTAGCAAAGAGACTACACAACTCCTCTTTTAATATGACAGGCTTTGAATTAAAGATGTACTATGATTCACTAAAACTTGCAATATTAAGAATAAAGAATGTCACTTGAAATGTATTACAGATCTGCCTTTAGTAGCAAAGGAAGTTAAAAAGGTTATGAAATGTCTGCAGTGTGCAGTGCTAGGCAACTGAACCTCTCGTCCTCACTCAGTGGTCCAAAGCAACAATAACATACAACAAATAAACAACATTCCATGGCAGAAGAGTCGTTTATCACAATTACTAATAATAAAAGGTTATTAAAAGTATGAAAATTTCAATTTCAAATTTTAACTTTCAATTTCAAGGAACATGGGGCCAGATTCATGAAAGTGTCTCAAAAAACAAAATGTAAAATGTGCGTTTTTACTTAACTTTAAGCTTTTTAACTTTAAGTGTAAATTTTATCATGGACGCTGCCTCTGCAAATTCTGCCCATTCTCGTCCATCACCCCACAATTATCATATTTTCCAGTGAGGCTGTTTCTTCCACCATCACCTCCTAGGCCTTGTTTGGTCATTTTTTTTTTAAATGCTTGGTTTGATGTTTTTCCTCCATTTTGCTCCGCTGAGCGAGTTAAACTAAATAACAAAAATAACAGTTAATACAAATTGAGAATGTATCTAGTGTTGTTTATGGTACGTGGCAAAATGCAATGTAGCCTACATAAGAAAACTATGAACATTTTTTAAAGAAAATCTTAGGGAAATAATTAAGATTATCTTAAGAGAATATTTGAGAACTTAAGTTTTTTTTTAAAATTGCATTTAAGAATATTCTTATGAACTTCTTAGCGTTTGTCTTAAGAACCTTTGCAAGTTTTTTCTTAAGGTTTCGTGAATCCAGCACCTGATATTGAACACATCAGTCTGTCTGTAACTCCAGTAGATGCTGTAAATATAATGGAGAGAAACAGCAGAAGACACGCCCACTGGCCCAGACCTAAACCCATTCCTGCAGCTCAGAGACTCAGTGCAGATTTAGGGTGGGCCGTGTGTGTGTGTGTGTGTGTGTACCTGAAGATCCTGAAGAGCTGGTCTATCTCTGAGTCTCCGTGGAACAGAGGTTTTTTGGTGGCCAGTTCGGCGAAGATGGTCCCGATACTCCAGACGTCTACAGGAGTGGAGTAACGAGACGCTCCTAACAGCACCTCCGGAGCTCTGTACCACAGAGTCACCACCTACACACACAGTAATGACAACACCAGTCAGATCAACATCCCACCGTCCACTTTATCAGAAACACCTCCCTCGCTGGTGTACAGTTAGAGCAGGAGGGCCCAGTCCTGGTTCTAGAGAGTTCGGATCCAGCACACCTGATATTCAGAAGCTTCATTACCTGATCGGGTGTGGGAGATTAGTGTTGAAGCTAAACTCTGCAGGGTGGAAGATCATACCAGAACTGGACACCCCCCGAGTTAGAGCCTGGACCTCATCTGTTGAAGCACAATTAGTGTTCTGGATATCTTTCTCAACCTAGCAGTGACACTGACATGTGAAAAACCTCTGGAAACACTGCGGTCCAGAGGTTAGAAACTGACCAATGATGAATGGGTTAGATAAACGGTACAGCAACAGACGGACTACAGTCTATAACTGAACACCTATGCAGGGGAGCTATTAGGTAGGTGTTTCTAATAAAGTGGCCACTGAGTGGAAGCACAAGGTGGGTGCTTCTAATAAATGTGTACCTGCACACAGTGACAAAAGGACTGCAGTAAAGTCAAATAAAATAAAATTAATTAATTATTATTAATGATAATTCACTGTTATCACTGTAAAACAAATTCAGTTAGCGGCAAAAGCATCTATGCCAAGATCTGTACTACAAAATGAGCATTTATACAAAAGACAAATTCTAACTGAAAATTAGTCTGAGCACTCAGGTCTTCATAAGGAAGGAAAGATCGCACCCTGCTGTTCAAAAACATGGACTGACAGTGAACTGCAGGTTGACTATGCCAGTGTTCTTCATTGACAGGACAGGAAAAAAAACACATTCCCTAAAACCCTGACAACCAGCTTCTAATGATCTGTTCAGCAGGTCCATATACGATATAATCCAAGTCCTGATTTCTTAGATGCACTGAATTCAGAATGAATAAAGTGGATTTCTTTGAACATTGTCTAAGTTTCCATTCAGTTTGAAATCAAGGCCGCAGACTGCACCACCAGTCAGCCAGGGTTTGCTGCAATGACCCTAAATCCTTACGTACTGCAAGCTGTTCATGGCACTTATCAGTGTTGCATCCGATTCAGTTCCCACTCAAATTCACGTTTCCCTTCATAAATCGAACTCTCGGGCGCTGCACTCACTGAACAGAAATCATCGGCAAGCAGCACTGGAACTACGGAAAGCGGGAAAAAAGTTTAGAAAAAGGCTGTACGGTCGAAAGGTTGACACAGTCGGTCATTTAACGTTAACCTTTCCTGAACCGTTTCACTTTACGTAGTTCCAGTGTTGCTTGCAGTTGATTTTTTTTTTTCAGTGAGTCGCGCACCTAAGGGTTTGATTTGTAAAGGGAAACGTCAATCAGATGCAACACCTGCAGCTTTACAGTACGAAGACAGGTCATCCGCGCCTATAGCAGAGTTGAACCAGCGGGGTGCTGCAGAGACAGAACTGACGACGATAAAAAAGATATTTTACAGTTTGGAAAGATGTGTTCACATTTTAAGCAAGGCTGGTATATTTTATTATTACAGAGCAGTGCAATTCAGCCGTTAATGGAAAAAAAGGGCTTAGGGTGTAGCTACTCCAAGTAACGCTATTGGTATTACGATTAACTGAGTTCATTAATGTTAATGTTAGGTAAGCTGGACCATTATTTTGCAATACAATAACAATAATAAAATAATAATAAGAAGAGGAAGAGCATCAACAGAGAATTAAGACATTGCAAATGTTCTTTTAAACTGTAAAATATAATGTTATCTAGTTTAATCTACCTTTCTCTCTTCTCTCTGTACCTTATGACTGGCTTCGCCACGTGTCTCTGCTTCTATTATCTGTTGTTTCATATAAAATCCGTCTGCAACGTTTTGTAATTTCATAAAATTCTGAACCGGCGACGGCAGTAATTTTGCAGAGTCAGGCCGTTGCTGCAAAGTATGTATAGTGGAAACACTGCTTCGTGTTGCACGATAACTTTCACAAATGCCACAGCTTTGTGATTTTTAGCACATTTTTTAAATTCCACTAGCAAAATGATTGGTGATTCAAAATAAATCAGCAGAGGGAAGAAGTCTGCATTTCCCATCTTCACAGACCTCAGTTACACACTGCAGCCTAAACCAAAGTCTCTTCACTCTTACGCTGGACAGAGCTCGCTGGTTTGTCTGAGCTGCTTTAGCAGATCAAAACATAAATACCTTTGAAACATGTCAGTTAACCACAGTGTTTTTCTTAACCACAGTGCGCAAAAACAGCTTTTTACTTCTCCACTTTAGAGAAAAACAGCTTCTCCAAAAGCTAAGAAAAGTGCAAAATGATGAAACGTTTGTTTGGAGAGAGTCAATCAAAGATCACTCCACACGGTACCAGCCCTAAAAGTTTCTTTCTTACGCATCGCCTCTTTCAGACAGATGGCCTTTAGGAAACTATGATGTTCTTTTTTCTATAATTGTGGACAAAGGGACAAAATTCAGGCTTCTAGATGGAACTCCTGTTTTACGCTGTACAGCAGTTGCAGTGACAGATACAGTAAATTACCACAGACATGGTTTAACTGTACTTCGTAAAATATACAATCCAACTGAATTAATTCCTTCTATAAATAATTACACAATTTTTAGCCCAATTTGCCCCATTGAGAGTGACTGTGCAAATGATCTGATAGTAGATCAGAACTGTTAGTTTTTAAATCTGAAGTTTTTATTTATTTAGTTTTTCATTTTGTTCTTTGATTTCAGTTTAGCTTCAGTTCATCTTAAGGCTGAATTAACATTTTTAGTTTGTCTATACAGTAATAGTTCTTGTTACGTTTTTAATTCACCTGTAATATTATGATGAACGCTGTGACAGCAGATATTTAATAAGCGGCGAATAGAAGTCATGCATTAATAGACCGAGATCTGCTTCGATTACAGGACAAACACAAAAGAGCTCCACCTCTAAACTTTCATTCACTCACTGAAAACACTAAAACTAACACCCCTTAATCATCTTAATTTCATTGTTATTTTGATGATTTCTTTTAAAATATACTGTTTTAATCACGTTCTAATTTGCCTTTTCATTTACTTTACTTTTTGTACTATAAATTTAAATTACCTCTGTATTTTTTCATTTGTAAAGCACTTTGATTGACCGCAGTGTATGAAAAGTGCTATATAAATACACCTGCCCTGCCCAAAGGTTTTCTTAGTAATTTTATTTCTTTTTAGTTAGTGAACAGTCTAGTTTGGTTTTTATTTTCATTAAAATTAGCCAGCTCTGCTACGTTTTCTCAGTTAGTTTTTGTGAGGGGAAACGAGTCACTGTAGCCTTCTAATCCGCTCCGGTGGGATCAGACTTTCAAATATTTTGGATTTTTACAACTCCAAATGTTCACGAGTTCTACAGTGTGAGATGGTCAGCGATGTAACTCAATGAGTGATTTAAGCAACAGCCAATCAGAGAGCTAGAACAGTGGAGAAGGATTTCGTGTTTCATTACCTCGTGCGTGTAAACTCTGACGGGCACTCCGAAAGCGCGGGCCAGGCCGAAGTCCGCCAGCTTGATCACACCTTTGTTATCAATCAGCAGGTTCTGGGGCTTCAGGTCGCGATGCAGAACACGGCGACAGTGGCAGAACAGAATCCCCTCCAGGATCTGATACAGGTAACTCTACAGACAGAGAGAGAAACATTCAGAAAATTAAACTCAGACTAAAATACAGGAGTAACTGCTGTGGAACTATTTACTTCATTCAGTTTAACAACTATGCAAAAAGTCGTGTATGCGTGGCTACAGCGTACCTTAACGAGCATGGGATCCATGTACTGTCCTGAAGGAATGGAGTCCAGGTACTTCTTCAGATCCATCGACAGAAACTCAAACACCAGGTACAGTTTCGACTCCTGCATCAGCACATCCAGCAGCCTGAAGAGAGAAAACAGTACACTTTTTCTTTTCTCTGCACACCAAACTTTACTTTGCTAGATGCGACAAACACTTACCATTATATATCTGAGATCCTACGATGATTCCAGTGATATCGTAACACAGTGTGCACTTATCAAAGAAGAAACATTTACAGATAGAAACCTTATTAATCCTGAAGGAAACTGCAGAGCTACAGCAACCTATGAGCTCTAAAACTGTGCAAACTGCACTTATTTATTAGGAGGAGCTACAAAATGTACCTGAGACTTAAGCCCTATCCCATTTATCTTAGTTTTTAAGAGGTATATCTACAAAAAAAATTTCTCAGCGATAAAAATCTCATATTCAGACGGTAATAACATTAAAGAAGGACGAGCAAGTTTCTAGTGGGTTGTATTCTCTACAAGCACGGACATCACATGTGGATATATGATCATCTAAAGAATATAGTGTTTGGCAATTTGTGAAGTACACGCTCTGGAAAATCACAGAGATGTGTATCTGGGACTAAAATCATCCAGTCTGGATGTATATTTAATCCCATCCAAACTGGATAACACTGAGTGTACACATCGTGAAAAACTATACTGCTATTTACATCTAAATGCATGTAAGCTTGTGAGGACAAGCAATAAACACCATGTAATCGTCCACACAAAGTCATTTGACAGTAACAGGAGTGTACATACCGTACGACGTTGGGGTGTTGAAGCTCTTTGAGCAGGGAAATTTCTCGGACCGCCGTGCTGGGAACCCCCTCCTCCTCACTTTCCAAACGGATCTTCTTCAGGGCCACCACCTGACCTGTGGACTTGTGACGGCCTTTATACACCACTCCATACGTTCCTGAGACAGAAGAACACAAAAACAACCATAAATTTAGTCTACCACGGCTTATAGCCACTACAGCTGACCAATATATCATTTGTTGTTTGTTATTGTGACTTAGTCCTTTGCAAAAAATAGTAGTGGGGCTGGGCAATATGACAATATTAATCAATATTGTGATCAATTACACCACAATATGCTCAGAAGATGCTCTTCTGAGCATATTGTGGACCTCGTCAACATATAAAGAACGCTGACCAACTGCATGTTTCATTATGAGAGCATTATTAGTGCTGTTTAATTGGATTTTGTGGGATAACAGAATGTTTCAGCGATGCTGGGCTACCACACTAAACCATCTGCATTTGATTCTTTTTACTGCCTTTATGACCCTGCAAATAAACTATATATTTTTAAAATAATCATAGGTGGATTAGTACCAATTTACACATTATTATGTTTATGTATTGGCATTGGCAAATACGTGCATGAAAAATACTAGTGCATCCCTACTTTTTAATATTACACTTCGCATCACAATCACAGTATGAATCATAATATTGGTGTTTTGTCCATATTGTACAGCTTGGCTCCCAACATTAAAATGCTAACACAAAATGTTTACTCACCCTCTCCGATCTTCTCTATCTTCAGGTAGTCTTCCATCTTCTGAGGAGAGAAACACAGCATTACAATTGATTTACACATAATTACACATTTAAGTTTTAGATACATACTGCCCATTTTTTTTAAGCCACTTTCATAGATTTTTAACACTTTAATTGTTCAGTTTCCTTTTTATTTATGCACATTTACTACACCCTGGCAATTGATTTGCACTTTGATATAGATTTTTTCCTTTATTGATTGATGCTTCTGTAAGGCAACGCTGGGTATGAGAAAGGTACAATATAATCATTATTCTTACTATGACACAGGCCTTCTGACAACAGAACGTCCATAATATTATACCTTGTACACATATCTAGTGTCAACACACCCAAAAAGAATCATATACACATGGCTGTCCAGAGTTAAAAAAAAAAATAAAAAAAAAACAGTACAGATGGCAAATAGCATGTCCTGTTACAACAGCTTTGGCAGACAACTTACAATGAGTTTGAATTATATGGATACGTTTGAATTTAATGACATTCAGAAAACTATGTATTTTGCTTTTCTGCGACTGCACAATTCGATTTTCCACAGTTTCGAGCTCCATGAGCTCTTTGGGTAACTTATGTTTCAACTGAAAGCAAGTTTATCTGGCTTGGAAACAGGTCATTCAGTGAGCGGTAAGGACATGCAAATGTGGACATATAAAAATGACAAATGTTGATTTAATTTAATACGCTAACATTAATACAGTGTAGTCACAATTGAAAAGATGCCATTTTGTCTTTTTATGCATTTAAAGCTCAAAATCAGAGATGTGGGGCAATAAAACTGCTATGCTGCATAAATTACATTGCTCAGTAAATTTAGGACAAATGGAGATGTGTGTGTGAAAGACTTAGGACAATACAGAACATTAACATATGTACAAAAACTCACTGTTGGCACCCTAAAGTGTCTGTAGTTCCAGAAACACCCAAACATGAGCTACTGTAACTGAAGCTAATCAGCTTATTTAAAAGGGAGGTCCACATATTTTTCAAGAATTGTTCACAGTGGTGGTGATACGAACCAGACGTCCACCACCAGGAGCTCCCTCACAGAAAGTTACTACGTCAAATGGTTATGAATTCACTGCCTGATGTATGAGACACTGTTTTATGATAGTTTTGAGAACTTAACCTCCATTCATGGTGGAGGGATACATGCAGAGAGTTGAGAGGCAAAATAGTCCCCTCAAAAAAACGTATTATTTCAGATTTTCCGCTATTTTCCATCATCAACATTCCATTTTAAATTCAGAAGACACGTGTAGGTTCACTGGTGCTTTTGGATAGTAAATAAAATCTCTATATTTGTGTTGCAGAGATGGCGACTCCTGGTTCCCATCACCACCACTGTAAAGAAATCTGAACCATCTCACACCAAACCACTCTGAGTCACTCTGTTTACATCTTAAACAATGAATTATTTAAAATTTTGAAAAAATGGTGGAATTCCCCTTTAAAGGTTAACCTTGTCCTGCTAGCCAGTTTCAGTTAAAATTCTAGCAGTGTTGGTGGTTTCATCGACTGTCACTGCTCTTAATAACTCAGTTCAGCTGTTATCTAAGAATATAATTCATTACTCTGTTCGTTTAAAATAACTTACGACATAAAAACTCCTAAATGTCACTGCAGCCGAGTTTACTGTCGTTAGTTTAACCTACCTCACTGCTGAGGCAGAACTAGGGCTAATGCTAATGCTAACGCTAATGCCAGCGCAGAGCTGAAGCGATCAAAACAAAACATTTAACAACTGAATTAATACATTTATCGATAATGATGTGAATAAACTTACCTTAATTCTCTGTAAATTCGCCGGTACAGCAGTGCTGTGAGTGTATGTAGGAGAGCTTTCTGCTGTTGGAGGATCTCTGCCGTTCAAACTGACCGCGCTGACGCAATTCAAAACGGACCAATCACAGCGCTTGGAGAGGATTCAAACGGGCCAATCAGGAGGAGGGAGTGCTGCGGCGGGAGCTGCGTGCTTTACAGCGCGACCTGAGCGATAAACCGGAAATACTGACGATATAATACTGCAAACACAACAATATATCGATAAGATACTTAATAAAATCTTCTTGTGCACGAAAATTAAAATAGATTTTACCTGTAAGTGCTCAAAAAAGGGATTTATATATACAGTGCTGTGCAAAAGTCTCCTAAACCAATTGTATAAACCAATTCATAATAATAAAACGTAATAAAGTTTACATATAAAGCACCTTTCATACATTAACAATGCAGCTTAAAGTGCTTCACAATACAAAGTAAAAACAACAGAGGAAGAAGAGAAAAAGATAATCAAAATAAATAAGAAAAAGGGATATATTAAAAATTACAATTAATAAGCACAAGATAAAAGTATACTAAAAAAGAAAAAATGCAATAAAAATGCAACTTACAAGAAAATATTATTATGGTAAAACACGCTGCTGAAAAAAAAAAGTCTCTTCTGGTTCCTGGTGGTGTCCAACGGTCAATAGTATTCTATGTTTTTCTGATGGGTTGATATCACAGTATAAAAGACTCTAATGGTTTACGAGGTGTGATTCCAGATGATTCTGATGGTCTCCTAATGGGATCTAAAGTTGTTCTACAGGAAACAAGCAGTCTCCAATGGTAAACTTTAAGCCAATTCCCATTAGAAAGCAATCCTTATGGTTTCTAATGGACCTTTTCAGCGGGGAGTGACAAGAATTCTATATACTTTATATATTATATATTTATATAATTGTAGGATGATGTCGATGATGTTGAGATGTGATTTTCTTCTTTAGGATTTGAGTGAATAGTCAAAAGGTCGGAGTCGGACTCTGACAGTCAGGAGAATCGTCTGCTTTACAGAAATCCAAAGGAAAATAATAAATAAACAGATTTTGTTAAAAATGAAATATTGCAAAACTTTGATGTGTATTTTCTCTAGTTTCTGAAACACGATTCATCACTTAGACAAGGCAAAAATCCTGTTAGCAGGCTAGCCTGTTAGCATCTCATAAGGAAAAAATGTATGGACATACACTTTTATATATTTGAAATACACACCAAACACTAAAATGTATTTCAGAACATATCCTCATATTAACCAAATATATTTTAAAATACATTTATATTAAAATGTATGGGGAAATATTACACATAGAAATGTAGCACACAGAAATAAATGTATGTAAATGTGTTTATCAAATCAATTTGAAAATATATGAAAACAGCCAAAATCCTGTCTAATGCATACTGTTTGATACCTTTTGAAATGAATTTGTATTCCAGTATCTTAATTTTAAACATGATCAAATGAACCTTTAACACGACAAAAGTGAGTGTTGTGGGTATTGATACTCTGTGAAAATGCAGTTATGATTTGATATATTGTTCATCTGAAATACACTGTGTGTGAGTGTCTTACTGCATATGTACATGGTTAATGTAAAGTACAGTAACCTTTATTAAAATAATATCATTGCCTTTACTAAAGATGACTGTCACACTAAACAAGATGGTTCTTCAAGCGCTTTTTGAAGGCAATGGTTCTATTTAGAAGCACAAGTTCTATCTAGAACCATTTGCATAAATGGTTCTTTGCATGGTGAAGTGGTGCTTCAGATTGATGGAGAAGGTGTTGTATATAGTTCTATACAGAATCAAAAGTGTTCTGCTGTTGTTAGAAGCTTGACATCCTAACATTAGAAGAACCATTTTTGGTGCTTTATAGAATAAATTTCAAAATGGTTCTATATAGAACCATATACAACATATTCTCCATCAATCTGAAGAAACATCTCACCCTGCAAAGAACCATTTAAGCATGCATGTGGTTCTATATAAGACTCATGGCTGTAAACAGAATCACTGCCTTTACTAAAGAACCATTAAAGAACCTTCTTTTTATAGTGCACTGGTCTGTTTTTATTGCAGGTTTCTCTGGGGGTTTTAGCATTAATTATGCATATGTCTGATGGATCATTAATGGTGTATTGATTATGATTAGCAGAGCAGAATGTGCTCTCTAAAACGGTGTAGACTGGCTGTTATGCAGTACCGCCGAGCACCGCACGAGGGCACTGCAGCACCGTTTATGACTGCAGTGTAATTCAGAGAAGCGCCAGTAGAGGCGCTGTTTGCTCTATAAAGCTCATTAAAAACACAAATAAAGCACACAGTGTTTGTAGAGGAGAGTTCTGTTCATCTGATGTTCATCGTCTGCCTTTTTCACCTTTGATCTTCTTTATCTGAAGGTGTGATGGTGAATCTGTGTGTCTCTCAGTGAAGCAGTGAAGAATCATCCTGGCTGAAGGTCAAGGTCACAGTCAGATCATCATCAGGCGCGTTAATCCAGTCTGCATAGACACATCTAACATTTTCAGCAGAGATTTGTTACTGTAGGACTGAGTGTTTAATATCCTGTGTTTCATTCTACATTCTGAGTTAAAGAACCAATAACCTTAATTTCCCTGAACTTATTTTATTTTCTGAGCTCCACTTACAACATTTGTGAGGTTTTATGTGTCAAAAACAGCTATAATTAATTTTCCCATCCTCTCTTTGTTCCTTACGATTAAACAGGCTGGTCCTGTTACTGTGCCTTTAAGACAGATATATGTAAATATGTAAATATCATATGTGAACTCCTGTAGGCTGAATGGGTGGGGCTAAGCTGCTTTAGGCTAAATGGGTGGGGCTAAATGGCTGTAGGCTGAATGGGTGGGGCTAGACTGCTGTCGGTGAATGGGTGAGGCTAGACTGCTGTAGGCTGAATGGGTGGAGCTAAACTACTGTAGGCTGAAGGGTTGGGCTGCAGGCTGTTTAGTTTTTGTGACATCACAAATACAATACATCTAAAACAGGCTGTATTTGAAATTTAGTTTCTTTATATGGACTGTATATATATATATACAGAATAAAAAGTTGGGACGCTGTGCACAATCTAAATGAAAACAAAATGCAATGATGTGCAAATCATTTAAACCCTATATTTAATTGAAAATAGGACAAAGACAACATATCAAATGCTGCAACTGAGAAATGTTATTTTTTTTTAAAAAAATATATGCCCCTTTTTTAATTTGATGGCAGCAACACTATTTTCAAATAAATATAGGGTTTAAATGATTTGCACATCATTGCATTTTGTTTTCATTTACATTTTGCACAGCATCTCAACTTTTTATATACACACTTTAGTCTCTAAATATATATACATATACACAATATACGTATTAATATACACCAGTATTTCACCATTCCAATTTACAGTTTTTGTACAGTAATATAAGTTCTGAAATAAAAGCTATGATACGTACAGCTCTACACATTTCCATACATTAGTGAGTCTGATAAATGAGATGCAGGGTCCAATTCAAGACGGTAACGATGAAATTAGAAGAATTATATCTTTGGCCACACTGTGTTTTTAACTAACCTGCGCATGTACTGGACTGTGATGCAGTGGAGCGCAGCGTGCTTTTATAATCACAGTAAAATGATTTGCTTCATTCTGGAACAAAAGCTTTCATTCAGTTTCGCAGGCTCAGATTAGCAGAGCTTAATTAAACACATCATCAGAGCAAAAACACCATTTACACTAAAACCTCATTAATATGCAGATTTACTAGACTCTGAATGGCTGAGGACTGTCACTTCCTGATAAAGTAAGAGCCAATCAGATGAAAGATGAGATAATCACCTAATCTGATTAAACTTGACTCTGTACTAGAGATGGGCAATATTGCAAAAATTATATCATGATAGTTAAAGACATTTTCACAATACGTGATACGCATCATGACACTTGGTTTATCCGAGATTTAATAAGTTGGAGGAGACAAAATAGAACCTGTAATGACACATATAATAATAATAATAATAATAATAATAATAAAGCTACAACTACAATGATTTTATTTAGTGTGCTTCACTAGATCCAATTAAACAGGCCTAATTATGCTCATTTGATGAACCATAGTTGGTCACTGTTCTTTAAAGCAACAACATGTAACAGTTTTACCTTAAAATAACAGCTTCATAATCATGTTAATGCTACTCTGACTTATAACAGTGAGAATGGCGTCTCTGTTGTTGCCACTCTGGGCCAGAACGTCTGCTATAGCACTATATAACTTTGGAGGAGCAGCACGAGAACCTCTTGTCAGAACTATGTAATGCTTTATGGCACCACGTCACACACTGACAACTCAGCAGCTATAAGAGAAAGCAGCTCGGTATTCCCAGCATGGATATCATGGCAGAGGCTGCGAAGAGACAGAAGAAGACGCTGTTGGAAGAAGAGAGGAAGAGAGAGAGACCAAGCGAGAGACAGGACAGTAAATCTCAGACTGGCTTTTACTCACTGGGAGCTAAAAGAGATAAAAGGATGCAGGACAGACTCATGGCTAACGGGAAAGCAACGAAACTGTGTTCATCCTTACCGGTGTTATTTATGAAAGACCGCACTGTAGGCTGGAATCTTATCTGTGTCGTCCCTGTCTCACAGAGTTTTAGAGATTTCATGGATGCTAAAATACGTCTAACCTCAGCCCTGTTTCAGAAGAACATGCAAAGAAATAAATTCATTTCACTCCGGAAAGTTTGGTCAGTCCGTCAATCTCACAACAAAATGCTTTGAAAGAATGTAATAAAATCCTGTAATAAAACCTCGTAATGTTTCTCTACCTTGTAGGTGGATGTAGTTCTTTCTCTTCTGATGTTCTTTGAAGAAAATGATCGGAAATTAAATAAATGAAGAGTCTCTAACTTTTGTACAATACTGTAGATACATGGAAATACTATTACTAATAAAATAAATAACAATGATTTTACAGAAATGATTTTACACACCGGACGCAATTTATTGATTTGGACGACAGTAATTTAGTTTGAGCAAGTGTTTAACTGACAGTATCAT